ATTTGTTGCTCTACTAAAGGGGTTGAGATTGGCACTGCACGCTTGAGCCTTTTGCGGAATCTGTAGAAAATAATTGCAAAGAGGAGATACAGGTAATTAGGGGGAAGAGGGGTGAGAGTTGTAATAGTTAGGCTACCCATAAAGGCGCACAAGGGAGATCGAGCTGAAGTTTCTGTTCGCTCAGAAAGTGTTCGTATTCGTCAGCCAATTTTAGCCCTGACTCATCCTTTTTTGGAAAATTGCCAAAATTCCTACCGTCTCGTTTTGATGACGGCTACATCGCTCACTAGAATTCTAGCTATGCATACCTGTTTCCACATTAGTGTCCTGGAGTAAGTACTGCAGTTCGACGAGGGACCCTTGGAGTGTGTCGTGGAGACGGCACAGATGTAGTGAGGGAAACTGGCGGCAGAACTGCTCCGACAGCTGATCCTCACTGGAGCTGGCAAGTGAGCAGACGAACAGGGAGAAGACGAATACCACGCACCACATGACCCTGAAAGGCATAGGAACATTTTGAGGAAGCGGCCTTTTATTTCGAAAGTATAAACGAGCGATTACTGCATTGAAACAGGGTGAGAAAGAGAATGGTCAGAAATGGGCCAAGGTACAGATTAACCAACATAAGTCATAAAGCACTGGTAATCTGGTAACTATGTGGAGGTCCTTTCTATAGAAGAGTGAGGAGAGCTTGCGCGGTACCCACTTATGACCTGGACCGGTTCTATTGAAAATTATGAGTGACAAGATAAGGTCGGTGTGTGCCCTTCGAGACTAGAGCTGATGAAAAGTGGAGCAAGGCCGAAAAAGAGAAGCACTGACTGAAAAGTTTCTCATAGTGCCGGGTATTTTCTACCTGATCGGATGACAGTTTCGAAGCTTTTTTTCACCCTGCCGTGGAGCATGCATACTGTAGATTACGGTACACTGTCCCTGAACCCTACTACACTGTCCGCCAGGAGATAAGTTGAAAAGATAAGCTCAGTGGGCTGAAGCACAAGGTATTCCCTCCCGTTCAGTTTCCCGAGGTGAGCAAAGTCGTGCTGGCCTTTTACTAATCCCGGTGCAAAGTCAGGCAATTTTTGAACCATTTGTGGGTCAGTCACTTTCTATAGCATACATTGGAACCTTTCGTGCAGTTGGGCCTTCGTGCCATTGTGCTGCAAGGAAGCCTCGAAGGTCAAATAGCTCAATATTTCTACCGAAGATGAATATACCACTGATATAGTACTCCAGTGCCCTCAAGCTTTGCATATTTAGCTGAAGTTCGCGTAAAACTCTGTGTATCTAGTCAAATTATAATTAAATGATTGATTTGTGGCTCCCTAAGGCCGATGTCAGACTTTGCGAATCGCGCGATTCGCTACTAGCGATTCGCGCGATTCGCTAGCGTCCGCGGTCGCGTTGCGGTACCAGCCAATTGAGTGATTCACTGGACCGCAGACGCTAGCGAATCGCGCGATTCGCAAAGTCTGACATCGGCCTAAGAGGGTCTAAGGATGGGGGGCAGTAGCGCAGTAACCTGCGAGGCCGCTACCACGAATATGGTTCCTCAAGCGAGTCATGGATCCGACCCGGTCCAGTCCATCCCAGCCGTCACTTACCCGGAGTCGATCGTTCTTATTTGTATGGAAAGAGCTTTCAACATTCGAAATCTCACAGTTTCATGCTGTACCACTGAATTTCAGCGCTATCGCAAGATACGGTGGCATTCTCTAGGTGAGCCTAGGAGGGTGCAGGAACTCAGGGAAAATGAAAGTGCTCACACTCCTTGACTCTCATCTTTCCCGCCTCAGGCTTAGTCCGGTTTTCATCAAAAAAGAAGATTTTTTGTGGTCTTGAATGTGTTGCCACAACAATGCCCCCGTATCTTGCGATAGCGCCGAAATTTTTAATTTCAAAAGAAGTCGATTGCATGGCGTATCCCGTACGGGACTGAGAGTTTTGCGTTGTGATGAGGAAGAGGATTGCAAGCGGGTAAAGGCTCTTAGTCAAGAGTAGGGCAACTATCGCGGTGAGATAGGCATGGAATAGTCGAGCTCATTTGTCCTGGGGCGGGGTCGAAAACACCTGCTCAGTGACAATGGAGAGAAATGAACTTTCCTGTCTACAAATGTACAAATGTTTCCCGAACACTTTTTCTGCTGAATTCTCGACTGAGTATTCAGAGGCTAATCTCGATGTTTAGCGAGTGGAAAAACTCACCAGGATTCTAATTGAATTCCTATGCAAAGCTGCAAAAAAGAGAAAAGTATAAATGTCGAATCACCTGGTGAGTAAGTACGGTAATGCAAATGATTACACACTTAGTCAAGGCCATATTTGGGCAAAAGTGGCGTCAGCCAAAAGGTAAGTGATTTGTGGAGCCGTTGAATTTGCAATTTGGCGGCTTTTTCTTTCGAGCGCGCAACATACAATTTAGGCCCCAGTGGAGCGGTAAAGACTACGAGAGAAATGGGGAAGTTCCTGTCGTAGACGTCAGGCCAAGGCAGCGATTATGAATTGGAAGGAACCCTTTGTATAAATTTAATCGATATAATCGGGTATTCAATTAATTCATTGAGTTTATGCCCAGAGGCGAATAAGCAGCCGAGGTTAGAAAATCACTTTTAGGATGCGCAATTTGTCCGGAGTTCCCTTTCAGGATCCAGTGACGTTTACAAGACGATGTAACTAACAGGCGTGGGAATTTTACTTGATGGTTTGGCGAATGTGGGGGAAGTCAATGTTCTTACAAGGCTTAGAGAGCTCCTTGAAGGTCATCACAAAAGGCCTGAGCATGGGCAGATGCCCCCGATTCAGCTTGACGGAACTCATCAGGGCCACAGCAGGTTTTGGTTCACGTATGGGTCAACCCGCGTCTCTACCGCTCGGATGGACGTAGGTCAACAGTTAAAAAAAGGTCCGTAAAAGCGCAGAGTGTGTCGCGGGTTACCCATTTTTGCTAGGGCCCTGTTGGAGCGGGTTCTTCGGAGTGGCAGCGGTCAAAATTCGCGGGGAGGGTGCCGTCTGGTACTTTGCGAAAGCGTAGGCGTATAAAGGGGGGGGAATCTCCATAGTTGAACTCGGCTACGATTCCGCAGCGGTCCAACTAGCACATACGAAGGTAGGGGTCGTTATTTTGCTCGGGCTGGTCTCTCACGTTTTGCGCCATTTTATTTTCGCCCATTTGTCACAACTCGTAGAAAACCTAGTCCCCACTTTTCAGTTTTTGATGCCTCCTTTTCTTTCTTCTTGGATGTTTATTTCAATGCACCGTACGTAGTTAAGTTTCGCAGCTTGAAACAGGTACCTAGGCGATCCGGTGGAAATTGCCTTTAAGTTACATAGGTATTAATCTTGGAGAAAATTTGTAGTATATAAGGCAATTAAGGGCATATAAGGATGGTGATATGGCTACAACTGTAATAAATAATTGCGATCCACAGAAATTTTACTATGGTAGTATTACGGTAGCGAGGTCAGAAAGAAGCGAAGAAAAAGTGGATGCCGACTCGGATGTTGCTTCCGGATGCTTCTGGATCCCCACGCTTATGATTAGGTAGGACGATGCCGGATGTGTTAATGGGGGGGGGTGTAACGCTTAGAATCGGAATATGGGGTGTGGGGTTAGCGGGGTTCCAGTTGACACAACACCACCACCCACCCAGATAATGTGTCACCCCCACATGGTTGTTGTGTGATGGGGAAGTTCTCTTGTGAGTCAGAACAGATTTTATCAAGTGGGAACATCAGGGTATCCTATCCCAAAACTCATGATGGATTGATCACTTGCTCAAGCCAATGAGAGGATGCGCCATGTATCCATCCCTTGTCGAGATAGTGACAAGGGGGGGGGGGTTTTTGGAGACTATTTGGACCACGGCTTATCTGCATACCCGCTATGAGGTAAGTTCGTTGTTTTTGTCTCCTACACGGGTTGGCACCAGTCGTCTGGAAGCATGAAAGGCTTGAACGGCTCTGAGATTGAACCCATTTGGATTTGAACTCGTAGACGTGCGCATGATAAGAAGTCAGTTACCATTGACACCCTCGTCAGCTCGAGGAAGTAGGTGCGTCCAATAGTCCTCAGTTGAGTTGAGGGTACTGAATGGTGACAGAGAGCGAAGGGAAGGCTTAGGAGGCACAAACGGACTATGCGTCCCGGCAGGTGTGGACTAAAATTTGTGCTTCGAATCAGCTGTGTTGAATGTTATTTCTACTGAGGTGTGTGTTCCTTCTACAGAGAGGGATGATGTAGCGAAGGGTGCAGCCATACAACGCATTAGACAGAGAGAGTGAATCTCGAATCGAGAACTCTCCAGGAGCAACCACTCCTTATTGGATCGCTAAGAGAAACTAGATCGTATGGGAGTAACAACACAATACAAGCGATGTATCAGCTTCCAACCTTCTCTGTTAGGCCATCGTCGCATTTTTCTCGAATGCTTTCAGCCCACTCTTTCAGATCTGAGTAGAAAAGGAACGCATCGATTCCATATTAAGATTTATAAGTCAGGTGATGTTGCTAGCTAAGTTCGGATGGGGAGCCAGGTATTTTGCGCCTTTAGTGACAAACGGGAATATGCAAACCCAGAATAGTGTAGCAGTTAAGGGGTGGGGAGGGGAAGCAAGGTCGCTTGAATGGAAAAGCTGGAATGTGCGAGTTACAACATTTCGCTCAGAGGAGGCGATTTCACAGCACGACGTGGCGGCGAATACCCTCCCCCCTCCCAACTGCGTTAGCAGCCAAGTGAGTTCTTTTTCCATTATTTTTTTACGCCGTGTGGCAGAATTGGAGTAGAAACAGATGTTCCAAGAAATTTCTCCTTGATTCTGCTCGATGAATATCTTTCTTGGCATTTTCTTCTATTCTGTATGTTTTTTCGCTGGAACCTTTTTATTCCCACAATATTTTTATTTTGTCCCACATTGCTTTGTTTGTTCGAGACTTGATGTGTAAATAAACAAAAATAAATTGAATCAAACCAAATGGCTTGGGCTTTGGTTGTGAATTCCCCTGCTTTGATGAAAAAAACTAGTCCTTATCTAAAAATAAATGAAAAAAAGAACTTGAAGCTTCTCATTCTTGATTCAATTTATAGGTTTCAGTTCAGTCAAAGTTTGTATGCGCTTCGATGGGATTTGCTCTGGGATTCGTTTTTAGGGGCCGGTGTTATGTGATCAAATCCATTTGTCACTACTATCAACTATCTTCTTCTTCTTATTCTTTAGCGTCTGTCCCGCTTGTAGGCGGGGTCCGCTTTTCTGATGTGTTGACGCCACTTCTCCCGATTGAATGCTTGATCGGGGTGGATGTTAACGCTCTTCAAGTCTTCGTGCAACGTGTCGAGCCATCGCTGCTTCGGACGTCCTCTAGGCCGCTTTCCGCGCACGTCAAGGTTGAGACCGATCTTACGGACACTGTCCTCATTCGCGCGAAGAACATGTCCATACCATCGGAGACGGGCTTCGCGCATTTTATCAACAATCGGAGCTACACCGAATCGCTC